CTGATTAGTGCCCCTTTCCATATTTGATGAGTGCCACTTCTCACCTCTGATCAGTGCCCCCTTTTATTTTGACACATGCCCCCTTTATCTTCCTAATAAGTGCCCTTTTTCATCCGATAAATGCCCCTTTTCTTTTTTAATAACATCCATTTCACCTTCTCAGAAATGTCCCTTAACTCTGACACGTCTGATAGATACCTCTATTAAAATTTCGTAGGTGCCCTTTTTCCTTCGATAAGTACCCATCTTCCTTTGTAATAAGTGCCCCTTCACCTCTTATAATTACCTCTGTTCGTTCTTACAAGTACCCATTTTCATCCCCGATGAGTGCCTTTACTCAAATTTGGGAGGTGCCCCCTTTAAACTTGACACGTACCCCCTTATCTTTTCTAATTAGTGCCATTTCTTTTCTGATAATTGCCCCTTTATCCTTGTAATAAGTGCCCCTTTTGCGTTCTCATGAGTGCCTTTCTTCATCTTTGTTCAGTGCTCCTTATCAGGTGCGAAAAGTGCCCTATTTTAACCTCTGATAACTCCCCTTCAAATAAGCATTCAGACCATCACACCCAACTGCAAAGTAGTAACTTGGACCATGAAAAGAGAGAAACAAACATTGAAAACATCCCTGATAAAGTAATCACAATGTAGGGGCATATACCAATGTCTAAAAACCGTATATTTTCGCTTTGAGGCTTTCCTTTGTAGGTGCCCCTTTTTCCAGAAAGTGACCTCTTTGTTGGTACCCCTCCCCCCATTTTGAAAGACGCACCGCTGCCCCTGAATGACATCATATGCATATATAATTGACACTGCATAACAGGTTGTTATGGTTAAGAAAAACAAATGAAAAATAAGGAAGTTAAACAACAAATGCTAAAAGAAAAGAATGGGTGTAACGCGTTTAAAATGCAGTGTCTAAAAATTCTTATTTTTCCATCTTGTTTTTCATTGAACAAAGGATCGAGTGAACATTGTCGTGTGCAGTAATTCTGGTGAAGACAGCGTGCAAGGCCTTATAGGATATATCAACAGGAATATATCAGACGTCGTAGAGTCAGCGAGTGTGAAGTTTGAGCCGCTTCCCTACAACATGGCAGACATGAAGGAATTCGAATTAGGTGGCGTTGATGCCTTGTTTCTGTGTCATTCTATGGATATCAGGGGACCTTATCGCTACCCTGACGGATCCAACTCCATCTATGACAAGTTCTTGTACAAGGCAAAGAGGTGCTTGGGTAAGATTTTCTTGAGCTCCTCATTGTTTATTATACTTCTCATTTTATTTCTTTAAAATGTTTTTTTTTTATTTATTTATTTTCTTCTTATTCCGACATGCACCGAAGGCCTCATTCAATTGATATTTGGCTCATCCGTAGAGGCAGCGCCCCAAGAAAAAAATCTGATGGGATCAGTAATATTTCAAAAGAATATTGTGTGGGTCTATGTTATTTTTTACAGCCTATCTGAACTCACTTGGAATCACCACAACACTTGGAGGTGTAATTACTTTAAAGGGATCGTTTAACAATGTTAAATCTGAGATACACGGTCCTACGTGTTATCAGTGTTTGTGATATGGTGTAATATTGAAGCCCTAAAAAAATTGTGCTTCAAAATGATCAAGAAGTGCCTCAAAAGAGTAAAAAATCTTTGAGTGACCGGTTTTACCATACTCGTTTTCCCCAATAGACTGTAGGTTTATGAAAACCGTCAGGCGAACGTTTTTCAAAATTTGTAATTTCAATCATAAATATGTTGATAATCAGACCGGCGATCGGCTTGTAAAAGTCATGGGGTTCCTGACTGACCTAAAGGTTTATAATTATCATTGCATCATGAGCAAAATCCAGGATTTTATTTCAGAATCTGAGACAAAGTTACCGGATCCCTTTAAGAGACGTATAACGGTATATAACTTGTTATAACGGGACCTCCCTCCCTCTCTCTATCTCTCTCCCTCCCTCTCTCTCTCGCTCTCTCTCTCCCTCTCTCTCTCTCTCGCTCTCTGCACATCTCTCTCTCTCTCTCTCCCTCTCTGCAACTCTCCCTCTCTGCAACTCTCTCTCTTTCTCTCTCTGTGGAGATAGGTTCCCGTGATTGATTACTCATTAAGAAGAGATGTATAGATATGACAACGGTATATAAATGTATAGTGAGGTATTTCTAACTAAGAAAATAATTTTTAAAAATTGTGTTTTTGTTGTTGTTTTGTTAGGAATTATTAATGTTTTCATTTAAAAAAAAACTGACGTTATGATGTTCTCTTTTTCGTTTTGTTAGTGTGTATTGTAATTGTTTTACCCTGCATGAGATGCATCCAATGTCATTCAAATCTCGGTCCTGGGTTGTATGTAACTTCTTTATTACTATGTTAATTGTTATATGTACTTTCTTCAATGAAGATGAATAAGCAAACTTGAACAAATTATATATTAGTGTAAGATTAATTATACAAGACAAAATGATCTGGATTTCCCCCAATATAACAAAACAAAAGAAAGTAATTGATTCAATGGCCCCGGCATACACTGCAACCCCCTCCCCCTCCCGAGGGGGTAGCCCTTCAATCTAAACAAAAAAAGAGGCAATAATAACCCTGTCAACAGTCAAGACGGATTTTTTTTTCTTTCTTCTCTCCTACCTCTATCATCAAACAGGAAAGAAGAGAGTAGCTGTCATTGTGCACGACTACAAAGATCTTTCGCGAGAAGCACTTGAAACGTGGAACCAAACCAACAGGTCCACATTCAATAATATGACGTCACTGATGCTAACACTTGGTCAATTTGCTGCAGGGGGTGGCCCGATTCGACTGACCGCTGCACAACAGTCCGAGTTCAATTTCTTCTTTGAAGGGGCACTTTCCAGTCGCAGAATTGTAGGAGCATTTTACAGGTTTCTCTATCGCCTTATCCGTCAGTGAACTTCGATGAAGATTGAGGCCCATTACATCAGCGTGGGACTTGTGAGGACATTATGAGCTGTGTCATAATGTTATCTTCGACCAGCCCCCCTTTTACACCCTGTCCCGCTTGGTCGCTCCGATCGCGATCCTACCTAAAGTGCCCCTCCCTCCCCCATCCTTAATGTTATTGCCCCCTTGTAATTGTCTATAACTTTGTCCATGAGGTCATATAGTTATTATATAGTTATTAAATGTACATAGCTGGGTACCTTTATAAGCCATGCAGTGTAAATAGCCTAATTCCACTTTATATTGTAGTGTATTATACGTGATGTTCTTTTTGGTAAGGAATGTATTTTTATTTTTTTAAGGTGAGGATGTGAAGTTCTTAAAATAACTGGAAACGTGTCTGGAATCCTCGCATGGGCAGACATTGTTGTTACAGATCTTTTACAAAGTCATGTACTTAATACCCAAGAGAGTATTCCTCTTACAATATTAGGAAATCAGTAAATTTAACTTATTTCAGTGATGTTTATCAATTTACCATGTCATTAAATGGGTCTTTGTATATATGTACAGTAAAGTATGCATGATCTTCATAAGCTTTTAAAGTAAGATCAGCTTGTACATATACCTTTTTTTATAATTTCTCACACCATTGATCACTCGTGGACAGTATGGTGATGATATATTTAATCCCAAGCACCAACGCCAATTGGCATCTTCAACTCAAGTGTATAAAGTCTCATATTTAGAAGTCTTTTGGTGGGTATTGTTTATAATATTTCATGTAAAATATCGCCTACTTGAGATCAGAGGTAGTGGCAAACATCATTTTAAACACACAATGTAGTTAAATATGTTGACTTGCTGTATGTAATATACAAATCGTGTGTATTTAAAAATGCTATAGCATGGAAAAGTTTGCGGAAGTCTTATCGACACTAAATATGTTTGCAACTTGATGTATAAATTCTGCATTGAATTGGTACCTTGCTCATTGGCGGGTCATACGGGATCGGGGACACCCCATCCTTTATAAGAAAAGGGGTTACGACGAGGGGAAAAACACCAAACAGAATCATGTCGGAGAAATATTATGTCAATTACTAAATATGCATTAAAGCTCTATGCTGCATTTTGATAAAGGATTCTGGAAATAATCTGTTTTCTGTAAGGAATATCAATTACAACGAAACTCTTTCTGGTACTTAAAGGTTTCTTCCATTCAGCTTCCATAAAGGTAATAACAACCAAAACAAAATACCAGTCCGTAATTCTATATATTTATAGTCGGTGTTAGTTTTTCCCATGCACATCAAGTGGCAAACACATGTAAAAAACAATGTTTATTTGTGGTGTACATGTATATATATATTTATCCGTAATTAAAAATGCCTTTTCACTAACACGTGATCTCGGATAACATTTGGTAGTCCTAATTTCCCCTATGTCAATCGGAAAGAAGAATGTGATGACTGATAAGGAATACACATTAAATATTTATTTTTGTTAATACACATTTCGTTGTCCGAATATAACGAGCATCATCACGACTACAACAGCAAAGATGATGATGGTGATGATGATGATGATGATGATGTTGATGATGATGTTGATGATGTTGATGAAGATGATGATGACGACGATGATTGTATTGTTTTGTATTTATTTTCCGTCATTTAAAAATACATCAGCATATATATATTTACAATCATTAAGACACACTTATACAAAAAGGGAAGACGGAGGGATGGCCCTACTCAGCGTTGTTAGCATAACAATGCTGGTTTACAGAGGGCTCCCTGATGATGATGATGATGATGATAATAATAATAATACTAATGATAGTGATAATAATACTAGTAGTAGTAATGATAATGAAAATAACATCAATGATAATGATCATTATTGAACAATGAAGATTTCGGAAATATTATCTGAATATACTACGATTATAGTGTGTGATTTTATAATTGTATAAGTTTTATTCATCATCATTTTATAGATTCTGTTTAGAGTAGTATGTTTCAGAACGCGTTGTCTTTATTGCTCATTATAATGTAAATAAATGCTTCATACGATTGTACGTTTATTCTTTTTTGTAGAATATTGAGACTGTGTAGGCCCATAAACCCAGGCATCCCAGTAAACAGACACCCAACGAGACCGACGACTGACGGTCTCGTGGCCTCATGTGTTGTTGTCTTGTGAAGCCTGGGGTGAATGAAACATCAGGAGAAGCATTGTCGGTCTCGCAAACTCTCGGTCTCGGAAAGCTTCAGATAAAATATTCAGGAAGATCATTGTCGGTCTTGCTGGCTGTTCGTCTACTGAATAATTGTAGCGCATAACACAAGTAGAATCAAGATTAAATATGTTTTGATGTGTGTGTGTAGGCCTTGAACTTGTACTTAATGATGCTGTCAAATAGTACAAGGCTCACCACCTCAGACTTGTGGAAGTTCTGGTTCAGTAGCTTGTTGTCACAATCGGTTGAGGTTGATTAAAGTAATTTAGTTTTGTTTCTGTATCTGTATGTGTTCCCCTCTTATTTTTGTTCATTGTTTATATCTACATGTAAATATGTAAGTTTAAATAATATGTTCCCCTCTTATTATTGTGCATTGTTTATATCTAAATGTAAATATGTTATATGGACCTTTACTCTTGCAGCTGAGTCTGGAATAAAGTCTTGAATTGAATTGAAGTGATTTCAGTCTTCAAAATAAATGTTTTCTCAGTCTTTCTAATCACAGTTGACATTTTCACTGGAAGTATTTGTATAAAACAGCAAGCAAAAAGATTTTTTTTTTTAATTAAAAGGAGGAGTGATGGCTCAGTGGTAGAGCAGAAACATCAAAAGGAGAAAGGTGAGGAGGGGCACAGTATAAAAAACAAAATCACAATCGAGGGATAATGTTGTTTTATATTCGATATGGGCATGGGCCAGTCGCCCCCCCCCCCCAGCCATAAATCCGCCACGGGTTAAATACTCCCCATAATAATTTACACCTTTTCGTGCTCACTCTCAGACTTGTCTACACTTAAGTATGGTCTCCGACTGAAAATACTTCTCCATGTCTGAGTGAGACGATAAGTGCAAATTAACATAATTTTACATGAGAACCGTATTACGGGAGTTTGGTTAAAGGGGATTCCCCGATAGAGTGGTCAGAAATGACGTCATCAAACTAATATTTTTTGAGTTTCCAAATTTGAAATTTATTTTCCGAAACAGCATGTCCAGATGTATTGGCTGAGAAATGTGTAAACCATCTGAATAAATAGATTTCAATAGAAAATCACTGTTATTTTGCTCTGGATCATAACATTAGAGATAGATGCAAATCTTGGTGACGTCGTGGAAATGCGATTAGTAATAGTTGAAATATTTATTGGTTACTGAATCATCATAGGTTATAACAATAATGTGACAATGTCTTTACATGAGTATAAAACATAAGTTAAATTACATTTCCACATTCAGTAAATCATAGATACATACGCTCGAAGAGGTGATGATACAGAAGGGCTACAGCCTAAGCGTGACAGCTTGATACGCTTGCAGCCCAGAAACATTTAAAATCATAACGATTGTAAAGTAAAGTAAATTACAGAACATAATTGGGGGAAAATAACAAAAAATAAACAGTGACTTGCAACCTTTACATAGAACCATTACTCTGCTCAATAAAATTGATTTCACACTTTTCTTGAAAGTATATACTGACTTCAAGTTACGGATGTCAACGGACAGTGAGTTCCAAATATCCGGACCAGAATGTCTTATAGATTTCATAGCCATTGTTGTTTTAGGATTACATAAATGGTATTTATTTGATTGTCTGGTTGGGTATGTATGAATATTTCTATTCAAACAAAACATTGGTGGGAAGTGGGAAGGTAGGGAATCATTATGTAGACGGAACATGAACAGTGCTTGTTGTAAAAAGTTAATATCAGTTACTTTCAGAGTTTTTAACCTCGCGAATAGGGGATCAGTGTGATCGCGATATCCAGCATTGGTACACACACGAATCGCTTTCTTTTGTAAAAGCAGCATTTTATCAGTATATACTTTTGAGTCTGCCCACAGTATATTGCAATAAGACATGTAAGGAAGAATCAAGGAATTGTATAGCATATATAGAATATTCAAAGGCACATAATGTTTTAACTTATACAGTAAACCAACAGTGCGTGACACTCTCTTTGAAACGTAATGTACATGATCACTCCATTTCAGATTTTCATTGATGATAGTTCCAAGAAATTTAGTATTTTGTTTTTTCTCCAAATATTCACCATCCAAGACTATTTCAGGTATAGGTTTATCAGTTGCATTTTTCCTGCTTTGAAAATGAATATAATTAGTTTTTTTCAGATTCAGAGACAATTTGTTGCTCCTAAACCACAAAGACAGCTTAGGTAGCTCGGTGTTCATAATTCTCTGAAGTGATCGAAAATCGGAATTGGAGCAAAACACATTAGTATCATCAGCAAATATAATATATTGTAATGATGTAGTTGAGTTCGAGATATCATTAACATACAGTAGAAACAATAAAGGACCGAGTATCGATCCTTGTGGGACACCACATTTCATAGGCAATAATGATGAATCTACAGATTCGTAGCTTACATATTGCTTTCTACCTGACAAATAATCATTAAACCAGTCAAGAGCAACTCCTCTTACTCCGTAATAATGAAGTTTGCTTGATAGTACCTTGTGATCAAGAGTGTCAAATGCTTTGCTTAAGTCCATGAATACACCAATAACATGCTTTCGAGACGCCAAAGCATTCGAAATCTTATCATATAATTGTGCAAGGGCTAAATCGGTTGAGTGGTATTTCCTGAAACCATATTGATCCTGATTCAGTAAGTCATTTTCTGTTAGAAAACAATATAGCCTATTGTATATAAGTCTTTCCAATACTTTGGACAAACTCGAGAGAATAGAAACAGGGCGATAGTTTGAGACTTGGGAAGAGTCATCCTTTTTGTATATCGGAACAACCTTAGCAATCTTAAATGCTTCTGGAAATGTACCTGTCGTGAGAGAGAGATTAAAAATATGCACTAGTGGGGTTATTATATTTCCTATAACTTGTTTCAGAAGATATGTGCTTATCTCATCATGACCGTTAGCATAGCTTATTTTAAGAGAACGTGCAATATTCAAGATTTCAATCAAGTTTGTTGGTTTGAGAAATAATGACTTGTTGCAGGGAGTTTGAAGAAATTGTGAGAAGTCGACTCCGTTCGAAGCTATTGTATTGGCCTGATTGGGGCCAACCCCAACAAAGTAAGCATTGAAGCAATTTGCTATTTCTTTTGAATCAACCATTGTATTATTATCTTTGGTAATATGACACTTTGATTTACTCTTTTGTTTTTTGAGGGCTTGATTGATCACATTCCACGTTGATGATGCATTTCCATTTGCATTTTCAAACTGCTTGGCAAAATACATTTGTCGAGACTGTCTAATAATGGTGGTTAGTTTGTTCCTATATGATTTGTAATTATTCAAGCTTTCCTCTCCTGGGTGTCGAAGATTATATTTATATAATCTATTCCGTTTTTTAATAGAGCAAAAGATACCTTTAGTTATCCATGGCTGCTTGATTCTATTTCTTGCCGATCTTTTTTTAGTCATTGGGATATGTTTATTTAAAAGAGAGGAGAACAAGTTCCAAAAAAGTGCATATGCCTTATTGGTGTCAGTACATGCGACCACGTCATTCCATGTTACTTTGAGTAGTTCGTCATTAAACATGGCTATTTTTTCAGCTGTGATTTTACGTATCATAGCTTGATTCTTTTCGTCCTCAGGATAATTGCGAACATGATTACAAATCAGGAAAATTGGAAGGTGGTCAGAGATTTCACTATACAAGAGGCCAGAGCCTATAGTTATTGGTGACATTTGTAAAAATGTTATCTATCAATGTAGAAGAGTTATTTGCCAATCTGGTTGGTTTATCAATCATGGCATTGAATGAATTTGATCGTAACATATTATGAAAAGTATTATCTTCCTGCAAAAGATCAATATTAAAATCACCCATCAAGTAAACATCCTTATTTTCTAGATTGACCTTATGCAGCATCCTATCAAACTCATCCAAAAATAATTCAACATTTGTATGCGGAGGCCTATATATTGTACATATCAAGATGTTTTTCCTTTGAGCCATATTGATTTCAATGCATATCGAGTCAGTACCATCACTCTTCAAACTAAGGTCAGATCTAATTTTGTATGTTAACAAGTTTGAGATAAACATAGCAGCTCCACCACCCCTTCCGGTTTTTCTATCAGAACGTACAATCGAATAATTGTCAATATTACATAAAGTAGATGGAGATGTATCATTAAGCCACGTTTCTGTGACTCCAATGACTGAAAACGGTTTGGTGAGGGCCGACAGCAGAATGTTCAGATATTCATAATTTTTAACAAGACTTCGTGCATTTGTATGTAATAAGCTAAAGGAACTATTTTCACTCTCAAATCTTGAATTAAATTCATGAGGAAGATAATATTTACAATCCACTTTGTCATCCAATGATTCATTCAATTCATCAATATTGAACATAATATATAGTTACATGAAACATCAAAGAATATATTGTCCATGACATAATAACAAAAATGTGTCTACAAAATGCATGATAGCAGGAAAAGGGGGTCGGGGAAGGCTTTCATCGAAAGGGTGCGGTGCGGTGCGGCGCGGTGTGGTGTGCTCAACGCACCCATTCGATAAAAGAGGGGGGCCTTTTCTCGAAAGGGTGCGTTGAGAGCGGAGTACCGTTTTAACACACCCTTTCGATGAAAGCGGGGGGGGGGGGGGGGCTTTTCTCGAAAGGGTGCGTCGACTAGTCTTTCGCATCAGTCGTTTAAAATGAGGATCCGGACAGAAGGTAATAGTTGCCAATTTAAGTATATCGAAAATGTATTAAATAAAATGGAATGGTCTTGATTACAGAGTGGTCTTTTTCGTTATTACTATGTTGATGGGGGAGACACAGAGAAGGAAAAAAGGGAAAGGGAAGATAAAAGGAAAGAAAGAAGAATAAGAAGAGAAGAGGGAAAGGTGGGGGGGGCGAAGGACTCTTGCCCCCCCCCCCCGCCAAAAAATAAATCAGAGAGAGAGAGAAGGGAAAGGGAAAGAGAAGATAAAAGGAAAGAAAGAAGAGGAAGAAGAAGAAAAGAGGTAAACGGGGGCAAAGGGCTTTTGCCTCTCCCCCCCCCCCG